GTACACGATGTACTCTAGCATAGGCATACGGTTGCCAAAGCAACCATGTTGTAACACTATAAACATTGTTCAGAGATCAATAGAACACCTGTTGGCTCTCATTTCCCTTTCTACATTCGGCATCCACATCAGCAGCGGCGTCTTCAGGCTCGCCGACGTACGTACGCCATCAGTGCTGACATTTTGAAAGAACAAACAAGTTTAATAAATTTGCTGATGACAATTATATATATTCTTGTAATCGTTGCTAACAATATGTTAGCGTCTGAGTAATGGAAGTTCCCAGGTTTCTTGGATATTGACGGTCGTCGTCGTGGCCAACAAGATGCATGGAACCAACCATACCTAAATTACAAGGCTGGCTTGGATGTGTATGTAGCCAACAAATCTGTCGCGACCGGAATTACACCAAAAGATTGGCGGCGTATGCGAGATGCAAGGTTCTTTTCTTTGGTGGTATATAACACACCAACCTGTGTATATATATATTTATATGTATATCCAGTAGTAGTATAAATAGGATACGATATTGCACGTCCGTTTTCTCAGTTCACAGAGAGCCGCAGATTATCAGTCGCAAGAGAAGAACAGAAACCCGGCCGGCGACTCAAGGATGGGCAGAGTCCTTACCCCGGGCGCCGCCGCCAGCGACGACGACGACGACTCGAAGACGTCGTGGCCCGAGGTTGTGGGGTGGCAGATGCTGGACGCGTCGGGCAAGATCACCAGCGACCGGCCCGACCTGTCGCCTGCCTTCTACACTGACACGGACCCGCTGCCGACGAACTACGACCCCAAGCGCGTCATCATCATCGTCCACGCCGTCAGCGGCGTCGTCGTCAAGACTCCCGTCGTTGGCTAGCTATCTCAAAACGCTACACCGCATCAGTGGCCGTTTTGACACAGTACAGTCCATCAGGACTACGTCTATGTAATAATAATGGGCCGTGTATATAAGGTCCATTTATATTATTAATTAAACACGAAATGGTATGGTATCTTACTATTACTAATTAGAAGTCCCAACGAAGCCTCCACGTTAATCCTTGCTAGAAGCGCTAGAATAAAGGATAAATGCTAGAAATTCCCACTTTAATCAGAAATATCTTGCCGTTAATCAAAAGACTCCAACTATCCTTAATAATTAGATCTATTTTGTTTTTTTAAATATCCACCTCTGCAATTAAACATAGACAAACAACAGCCCAAAATCTCCTTGATAAAACAAACTTTGACATACGGGAAAAAAATTCTTCAAGAAAAAACGTAACAGAAAAAGTCCCAAAGTGATGTTCACACAACTTGGGTACGTGAGAGAATTCATTTTTTTTTTTAAAATTATCCACCTCCGCAATTAAATATAGACAAAAAAAACAGTCCAAAATCTCCTTGATGTAAAACAAACTTTGACGTATGGGAAAAAAATTCTTCAAGAAAAAAAAAACATAACAGAAAAAATCCCTTAGTGACGTTCACATAATTTGGACGTACGGGAGAGAATTTCTTTAAAAAAATATCCACCTCCGCAATTAAATATAGACAAAAAAACAGCCCAAAATCTCCTTGATGTAAAACAAACTTTCACGTATGGGAAAAAATTCTCCAAAAATAAAACGTAACATGAAAATCTCTTAGTGACGTTCACACAACTTGGAAGTACGGGAGATAATTTCTTCAAGAAAAAAACGTACCGGAAAAAAATCTCATGAACTGATATGTTCACACAACTTCGACTTACGGTAAAAATTTTCTTTTAGAAAGAAACCTGTACTAAAGTTTATAGTTGATTAATAAATTAATATATGTTCAATATACCAATGACATTTATAGTTAGATAATCTTCAGTTAGATATTATTAATAGAATATCAGGTAAGCAGTGCCCCTCGTATCCAAGGTTATATCACTACCTAAGAAACGTTTTTTTAAGGTGGCTCGTAACCCTCTTTAAGGGTGGTTTTGCCAACCGCCTCTACGATGGGGTGGCTACGAATCGCTGATTTGTAGAGGCGATTTCTAGACCGCCCCTACAAATCGATTTTTAGGGACAGCTGATAACACCAGCCGCCCCTGTATTTTTTCATAATTTTTGCACACTTTGCGTCGGCTGGGTTTCGAACCCGCAACTTCTCGCTCGCGCGTAAACTCCTCTACCACTGCACCTTACGATCACTTGTGTTTATATTCCATTTTGGTTCCCCACGTATTATACAAAACAGAACATAAATTGATTATTTGAGGCCCTAAACTAATTCAATGAAAAAGTTGTCAACTACAAAGTTTTATAACTTTTCGAGATCTATAACTTTCATTTTGGTACTTTCTCCATCCGAGGTCACTTACAAAATTTGAATTTCAAATTTGAGAAATTTGAATTTCAAATTTGAGAAATTCGAACGTAGTTTTCCATGACAAGATGATTTCAAATGAGAAAGTTATCAACTATAAAGTTTCATAACTTTCAAGATCTACAACTTTCATTTTTACTATTTGTCCATCCGAGGTGGTTTAAAAAATTCAAATTTCAAATTTTTGAAAATTCAAACATAGTTTTCCTTGACAAGATGATTTCAAATAAAAAAGTTGTCAACTACAATGTTTCATAACTTTTCGAGATCTACAACTTTCATTTTGGTTGTTTCTCCATCCGAGGTCGTTAACAAAATTTGAATTTTAGTGCTTAATTTTTAATACTCGGCGTCTATTTGTAGGGGCACTTTAATATTGAGCCGCCCCTACAAATCCGATTTGCAGGGGCGGCTGGATATATAGCTGCCCCTATAAATCGGGCCATTTGTAGGGGCGGCTGATAACACCGGCTGCCCCTATAAATCCATTTGTAAGGGCGGCTCATTTGACAACCATTTGTAGGGGCGGCTCAATATAGAGCCGCCCCTACAAAGAAAGAAAGACGTTGCTACAAATTATTTTTGTAGTAGTGTATAATCCAGTAATAAAAAAACAAAAATCAAATATAAGATTAATCTATTAATTCATAAAACATGAGATATAATCTTTCAACCTCAACAAATTAGATATGCACATGTGCCAAAATGTCACTATATAAGTAATAGCAAATAAATTGCTATAGTCTTATCATCACTATGTAATATTTTTTATGATGTCGAGGAAAAAGATGGAGGTCTGGGGGGCGGCGGGGTCGGAAGTGGGACGTGCGAAATGACCATAATGCCCTTGGACGAATAAAATCAACAAAAATAGCTATTTTGGGTAGGCATCAGGAATCGTCAGCAAGCGTTAGGAAGCATTTCCAAGCATTGTAAAAGGACTCATAAAATAATATATGTTCAATATACCGATGACATTTATAGTTAGATAATCTTCAGTTAGATATTATTAATAGAATATCAGGTAAGCAGTGCCCGTCGTATCCAAGGTTATGGAATCCAGTAAAAAAAACAAAAATCAAATATAAGATTAATCTATTAATTCGTAAAACATGAGATAGAATCTTTCAACCTCAACAAATTAGATATGCACGTGTGCCAAAATGTCACTATATAAATAATAGCAAATAAATTGCTATAGTCTTATCATCACTATGTAATATTTTTTATGATGCAGAGGAAAAAGATGGAGGTGAGATAAATGTTGTTGTTTCGTGAAACAACTGTTTTATACAAGCTAAATTTGAGGACTATGGGACCACTGTTGCATCATAGTATGAGTTGTTGTCATACTACCCAGAATGGACCTTTTATATATGCACAAATTAAAAATTTAGTAGTTCTCCTAAGATTACTGGTACTATATGAAACCGTCTATTAGACAATACTAATGTATTTACCTTAAAAGGTCTGATGGTCTAAAAAACAAGACAATTTCATCGGCTATGCAGAACCGGAATCCATCTATTCATCATCTGTCCAATTGTTTTCATCGTTCATCAAATAAAAATTACTTTCTTATCCTGTTTGAAGTGGTTTTGAAAAATATTTTGTTTTTTAGTTAATAAAATCCAGTAAATACTTATAAGGTTGTGTGTGCATTCTTGTGTATACCGAGTCTAGAATGAATTTTCTATATACTAGCAGGGGCGGATCTAGTGGTGGGGCGGAAGGGGCTTGAGCCCCTCCTACCGCCGCCGAGCCCATGGAGCCCCTTTTAGCCCCCCATGGTTTTCCACTTTTGATGCACCATGGAGGAGGGGATGAACTCTTGTTTGGAGCTTGAAGATGACTCCCTCACCGTGACATGGGTCATGGGCCTACCTCTTCTTTTCTCCCCACGTGCCCATCTTGCCTATTGGTTTTATTCCGGCCCACAGATCAGAAGGGTGTCGGCAGCATGGCATGGTGTGGATGGACGCACGCGATACGACGTCGGGTGTGTGGGGACGGACGACAATGGCCTTTTCTGTGACCTGGAACTAACGACTGTTAGGAAGAAATTAACCAAGTGTACCCATGGCCGAATGCAGCAGTCTTTGGTAGGCAGAAAGTCACCATTGATGGCCACGTGCTGTTTGTAAATTAATTAATAATTGCCAAAAAAGAGAAGAAAAACGATAGTGAGATTTCACCAGATATCTTTGTCTATTTACAAAAGAGCTGCTTGCGATTGATTGAGCATGTTTGGAAGCGCGCAGCGTCTTTAATTGTCTCCATGTTTCGTGAACTAGTAAGATATTTGAACCCTGCCAACAGTGATTTTCCCCCTTCACCCGAGCAGCCCTTTTGAAATACTCAGCGCCTACGATAATTGATGTTGAGATAATTTCAAAAAGGCTGCTCGGGTACTGAAGGAGCAAAACTCACTGTTGTTGGTAGCAGGTTCAAATATATATCTTGCTGGTTCACTAGCTCTGCCTGCTATTAAAAAATAAATACTGGCAGGCTACAGACACACGCAGACAAAAACTGATCGTCATGGTTCACGAAGAGCCATCAGCTATTTATATGCTGAGGACCGGAGGCCATCAGTGCAGCTCAACCCGCACCATCTAAACTATCCAACCCAGGCCAGGAACAGTGGCTGAGCAATGTCGCAAGCCGAGGAGCTAAGCACCACAAGTAGCTCATCTGAGGCCATTGCATCTGAAAGCCATAGTACAGATCTTACTAAACATCCAACAAGCGAGGTCTCGTCGGAGCCACTACTTCTCTACAAGAACTTCTGGTTTCGACGGCAATTTGTTGACAGGATTAAGCTTCTCCAGGTGAGATTCAAGGCTCGCCACGACGACATTATCATTGCCACCAACCCAAAGTGTGGCACTACCTGGTTGAAGGCTCTCGCATTTACTCTCACCAATCGCTCCCGCTATGATTTTAGCAACCACCCACTCCTCACTCGCCATCCCCAAGAACTTGTTAAGACCATTGATGTTGAATCCCTTTGAATGGAGACCTCACCAGCATCGAGACACTCCCATCTCCAAAGGATCCTTGCCACCCACATGCCCTTTTCACTGCTCCCAGAGTCCATAGGCATCCATGGTTGCCGAATTTTATACATCTGCCGAGATCCTAAGGATGCATTCGTGTCAAGGTGGCACTTTACAAATGAGGTATTTACAGAAAAAGCCGACATTAATGTTGCATTCAACAAGTTTTGTGAGGGCATTTCTGGCTTTGGGCCCTACTGGGATCACTGTCTCGAATATTGGAAAGAGAGCACTGGAAAGCCTGATAGAGTTATTTTCCTAAAGTATGAAGATATGATGCTAGAGCCGGTAAAGTTTGTGAAGACACTTGCATCTTTCCTCGGTGGCCCATTCTCCCAAGAAGAAGAAGATGTCGGGGTTGCGGAGGAGGTGGTTAGGTTATGCAGCTTCAAGACGCTTAGTAGCTTGAACAATAGTGAAACTGATGTTGTTCAAAGGGGATATCTTGCTGTTAAAAAATCGGCATACTTTAGGAGAGGGAAGGTGGGAGACTGGGTGAATCACATTAGTGATGGGATGGGCAGGAAGTTGGATTACATAGTGGAAGAGAAACTCAAAGGATCTGGCCTTGTCTTTTGATGTAAGCTTATATGCCATTCATCTCTCTCTCTCTCTCTCTCTCTCTCTCTCTCTCTCTCCGTTGTTGTATCCACATTTGTTTGTGAACACGAACAAACAGTCGTTTAGTCTGGGCTTTGTATACTAGTTCATCAAATAACTAAAATAATCTCATTGTGATAATGTATTTTTTTCATTCCTACATCTTCCATGATTGCCAAACCGCTGTCTACTGTGCCAATCAAACTCTGATGCCAAAGCATGAAACATGCATGAAACGGACGGGCATATGGCAAGCCATATATGACGTTCCTTCGTACATCTACGATAGTCCTAATATACTTAAGCCATCGCGTACATCGATCCATTCATCTCAGCAAGTACATTATTTACAAACTTTGATAAAATAAAAGTACATCTTATTTTGTGAGTTATTTATTACAAGGCATAAACCGATACATGTCCACATGGACCATAACAAAAGCAAGGCAAAGCACTTGACAGCATAGCACGAGCCTATAATCTTCACTTGTCACCACCTTTATCCATCTGGTAGCTGGGCTCACTCTCTAAAAGCTAATAGTGTAGTATAGGTACGTGAGGCAGTAGTACTCAGCAATGTCCCGTCAAAGAGCATTGGCATCCAAGTAGGATGATTTTGTATCTCATGGAGAGATAAGGGTTTATTTTGCAGAAGCATCCTTTTTGTCCATAAGTTGTGAAAACTAAACTGAAACTGTATGATAACTTGTTATAAATTAAATGAAACTTGATGATAATTTGCTTTAAATTAACTGGAATTTGTTGATAGTCCTACATCTATGTGTACTGGCTGCTTGGAATGATATATGTTTTTTATCACATACTTTTCTAATGAAGGTACCTGCTGAGAGTGAGTTGGAGGAGGCTTCTGAAGACAAGGCTTCTGAAGAGGAGTCGTCTGAAGAGGACTACCATGGCTTGTGCGATGTCTTTTGGTGGCTCATGCTCTGGAGAGGGACGACATCAACGACCTCTTTGACTAGAACTGCAAGGAGATGAAGCATCGAGCAGGTAGAAGCTCGGCCCTTGCGAGGACATCTTTGGGAGGGGCTCCAATAAGAATTATGGGAAACACGAGCTTGCCAATACCTCGGGAAAATATCGACACATGAGTTTGCATCCTTCCAAGTTTACAATTCCATATTTATTTTGCATTAATGTGGCAAAACGTGGGTTGAAACCAAATTATTAATTGGTTTGGGTGGAAAACATTTTAGTGGTTTGGGTTGGATTAGGCAGAGCACCCAAATAGGTGGCTTTGTTTGATTATTTGTTAGGGCAGCTCTAATGGTGACTTATGAGATAGTTCTAGGTACGTATATGATTTCATGTTTTTTAGAAAAGAGAGAAAAACTCTCTCTTGATCATGAGTTAGCTAGTCTTGTGAACATATTTTAAGATTATGTGAGGTCTTGAGGGTGTCATATCGGCTCTTCATGTTATGAGCTATGCTCTTAAAGTTAGTATTTCTGAAGAGATTATCATAAAGCTAGTAACTAGCTCATACTATATATTGAGGCTGCCCTTAATGGTGCTTGCAATCGAATGGATCTGTGTGGATTTGGTTCGGATTTCTGCTACTACAAAAATTATTTTGCGAGACACTGCCGAACATTAATGGAGGCGGTCACAAAATTCAACCATCTCGTAAAATGCCTATGAATTTTTGGAGGTGGACATTTTCATTTTATGGAGGATGTCACAATTAACTATCTGGCAAAAATGTATTTATGGAGGCGGTCAAGATTGCTCGCCTCGTAAAATCGATTTACGGAGGCGGTCAGGATTACCAGCCTCGTAAAATTGATTTACGGAGGCGGTCACCAAAAATCGATTTACAGAGGCGGGCCTTTTAAGAGTTTCGCCTCCGAAAAAGGCCCGCCTATGTAAATCATGGGCGAGCCCACCTGGACCATCTAGGCCGGGTATGAGTTCGTATAATGTATAAATGATGAGAAACCCTACCTTTTTTACTCACCCGCGTGCTCTTGAATCCTCTCCCTCAACCGAGCACATCCTCTCCCCCAACTGAGCAAACCTCGTGGGCGGCGCGGTCGCGTGGGCCTGGCAGGCCCTAGCAGGTGCCGTCTTGGCGGCGCGCGGGGTGGCCAGCTCCCTCCCAGCGGGTGCGTGGAGCAGCAACTGGGTACGGCGCTTGAGAACCGGCAGCGCAGCACGGCGAGTGAGACCCGACGGCCAGATCCATCCACATGTAGATCTCTCTCTCGGTCTACTCTTGGCCGCGCGGCTGGCCCCTTCCCTCCCTCTCTCTCCATCTCCCTTTCTCACTCTCAGTCTCCTTGCAGATCCAAGGCGACGGTGACACGGCGAGCGGACATACGGCTTCGATCTACTCTCTCTCTCTCTCTCTCTCTCAGTCTACTCTGGGCGGGCGGGCGGATGGCAGCACAGTGGGCAACGGTGGGGCCAGATCTAGCCCGTGGGCTGGGAACGGGCTCATAGGCGGGCTCAGGAATGGGCTTGCCGGCAGGCTCATGGAATTTTTTTTTTTTATCGATTACGAGGCAGACGTTCTAAGGAGCCTGCCCCTGCAGTTTGATCTTTGCAGGCGGCGTTGTTGGTGTTTAACGCAGGCCTTTCTTTGCAGCGAATGGAATGCCCGCCAGCAGAAATAGTTTTTGCCTGCCTTCAGAAAGATTTGTGTAGTAGTTCAGTCCATTATTAGCAGGACTAGTGATGTGCTGGTGAGCACTACCATGGCACGGCGTGGCGCGGTGCACTCCTGGTTGCAGCACTGCCGCCGCTCTTCTCCTCTCCTTCCCCGTTGCTATGCTGCACTCTCTCTCTCGGTCCCAACCAATGCTTAACGAGGTGAGCCGGCTCTAATTAATTTTCCATTAGTCGCTTTCATTATTGTTTCAGACCAGAAATAGTTTGTTCTTATAATAATTCAGTAATAATAATCGTCACCAGGACTCCAAAATCTCTACTTAAATCCTCTCTAGCTCTTCCCAATTTGAGCGTCAGCATCCACCTCGCTCAGTAGCATATCCACTTGGGTATTCGATGGGCTGTATATATATATCTATATCCCGCTTTGGAGACGTATGTAGTAGTAGCCAACTCCGACGAGGAGGATTACACCAAAAGTGTGGCGGCGAATGCGAGATGCAGAATCCAGTAGTAGTATAAATACGATACTGCACATCCGTTATTAGTCGCAAGAGACCAATGCTTGACGAGGTGAGCCTCTAGTTAATTTCCCTCTAGTCGCTTTCATTATTGTTTCAGACCAGAAATAGTTTGTTCGTAAAATAATAATTCGGTAATAATCCTCTCCAGGACGTACTCCAATCTGTCCTTAAATCCTCTTTAGCGCTCTCTTCGTTACTTGAGCGTCAGTATCGACCTCAGGAGCAGGCCAGGACCCAGGAGCATTTTCAGCCTCGTCGACGCATGTACGCCAGCATGCAGTATATCCACTTGGGTACGATCGTCGTAGCATGCAACAAGATGGAACCATACACTACGGGAGAGGCAAAATTCCCCGAGTGTCGCTGGCTTCCCCGAGTGCCAAAAATCAGACACTCGGAAAAGAGAATCTTCCCCGAGTGTTGCACTCGGGGAAGAGAGGCTTTCCCGAGTGCCGCAGAGATCCTGACACTCGGTAAAGAGCAGCACTCGGCAAAGGCCCTCTTCCCCGAGTGCAACACTCGGGGAAGATCGGCACTCGGCAAAGAAACATGTTACTTGACGGTCCACCCCGCCCACGCTGTTAAAACTTAAAAAAAAATTCTTCCTCGAGTGTCAGGGAAGACACTCGGGGAAGAGGCCCTTTCCCGAGTGCCAGAACAGGGCACTCGGGGAAGAGGCTGCCTTCCTCGAGTGCCAGGGAAGACACTCGGGGAAGAATTTTTGTTTTTTTTTGTTTTTTTTTGCCTTATTTTTTGTGAGGCCTTCCCACATTATTTAAAACTCCCTGTTCAAATTTGGGATAATTTTGACTGGAGTTCAAATTTGGGATAATTTTGACTTTTTTTGTTATATTTCGTTAGTTTTTTTCGTTTCGTTGAATTTTTTTGCATATTTTGAATTTGAACTGCAGGTGCATGAAATAATGGAATTTGGTGATTCAAAAAATTATATTAATGATATTTGGTGTATGTTGAGGCCTTATCCAGGAACTCGCATGAAATGTCGAGCATCTTGTTGACGTAATATGACGAATAACTTGCGGGAAAATCTGGGGGAGCATGGTATGCAGAGACTTAAGCCTTGAAGAGAAGTGGGACTGCGCGCCCACTCCAGTGATTCAAGAGGAACAAATTTATCAATACCTGTTGAAGCTTTATGACTTATACAACACCTGTTGTTAGCTCATCAAAGAAGATGAAAAATATAAACAAGGATCTTATAATACAGGAGCCTGTAGAATCAATTGTCTCTTGGCAATGAAGAGCAACAACATCCCCATATGAAAGAAGTACTAGTAGCTGTGAAATGAAATTAAAGAATACCAACGATGTTTGGGATTTAGAAGAAATTCCTAATGAAGCCAATACAGTAGGCTGTAAAGGGTCTACAAGACAAAATGTGACTCCAAAGGGAATATAGAAAGATATAAGAATTATAATGGAGTTAGTGTCTCATTACAATTTAGAGTTACATCAGATGGATGTAAAGACGGCATTCCTCTACGGAAATTTGTATGAAAGCAAATACATGGTACAACCCAAAGGTTTAGTCGTGGAAAGAAATAAAACCTATGGGAAGCCACCTATAGAAATCCATTTATAGATTAGAAACAAGTCTTTAGACAGTAGCATTTAAAGTTGATGAAACAATAAGAGAGTTTTGGTTTAAAGAAAATGAGAAGGACAATAGTATTTATGCAAAGTTCTAGAATGGAAAATTCACTTTACACATCCGGTGTATAGATGACATCCTACTCACTAGTAGTGATGTTAATCTGCCATTGGAGAAGAAAAAGTTCTAGTCCTCAAGTTTCACTATGAATG